AAGAAAAGCGTTATGGTTGTTGCGGATGAATTTCTTCTGAGAGGGTGCGTCGAATGTCATGAATCACATTTTTGGACCGATTACTATAATACAAACAATTTTAAATACGGTAAAATAATAACAAAGTAAACTCGAATACAACAAGACTATAAAGATTGAATTTCTTAATCTTAGCTTTACTTTTACGATCTTCAATCCAATTTTAGCCGAACAACCTACGATATTGACCAGTAATGCCAGTATTACTGTATATATCCATTTCCTCCATTTGTTTACCGCGCCGTATCGTAAGTCGATCGTACTTGTAACATAAGAGTCATGGTTGTAGTTAAGATGCAATCACTATACAACAGAACAACACTCTGACAATGGCAATTAATTAAAATAATTTATGAAACCCTTCATATGTCTTCGATTGACTGAAAAGAAATTAGATTGATATAGAGGATAGACATTTCTGACGATGTCTGGTCAATTCGAACCCTGACTCATTCGGACCAGGACACAAGGCTATCCGGCCCAATACTGTATTTGTGTTAAGATTATTTTTTAAAGATTTTATTTTATGTTTCTGGAGTCACTCACTTGACCTATTTGCAGATCTTTTGAAATTGTTTTTATTTTCCGACGCCATTGAAGCCTTTCGGGCTTTTGATTTATTATCGACTTTTGATTAAAAATACATTTTTTGTTTAAAAAACAGAATAAAGTAAACATGGATTATAATATCATTGTCATGATATATCAAGACTGGTGTAAATACAGTCACATTCTGAAATTATTCTTAAATTAAATTCAACTATAACTATAACTAATGTGAATCTGGGTCATTTATAAAATAATGATATTTTTTTTATAACAAAACATACAATTAAAACTTGATCTTTGTGTAATTACAAGTACTTCCAGCTTTCCCAAAAAATGTTAATGTAGCAAAGTTTCAAGTATGTCTCTTATTCAGTCTTCTGGGCAGGGCTTCCCCGCATTCTTTGCCTTTTTTGCTTAGTTGCACTAAAAAAGAAGGAAAAGTGTATAAGTTAAGCCGGAATTTTAAACTTTTTGTTTGAACGTTATTAATTGAATAATTCTCAAGTTTAGATTTTGTTGAGTTGAATGATTATTAACTGATATTCATTGCGATAAGTAGAAAATAAAATTTGTCAAATTCATCTGTAAAAGAGCATAATTGCAAAGCTTTTTCTTCAATATAAAGAAATTATTAAAAAAAAATAATATTAAGTAATTAACAACAAATTACTTGACTATTTTGCAGCTTTTGGGACTTAATTAACATCCATAGTAAATGCAATAAGGTATATTAAACTATAGGTAAAATATTTCTTCCTGGTTGTATCGTGTGGAATAACTAGATTTTCGCATAAATGGATTAACATTAATCTTTCTATACCTTTTAAATAATATTATCCGTAATTTCTGCGTGAATTCAATCATTTTTTCATCTAAGTAGGTAGAAAGTTCTGAATCAGCATAAGTACACCAAACAGACTCACATCTCAATAAATGTCAACCATCTGGATTTCCCCTTCCTTCCTGGAACGTTTCATTTGGGAATAGCTGCCAGTTGTGTCGATATAACTTGTGATGTCGGAGTCTTCAGTGTTATGTAGCTGTATTCTCTGGAAAATATAAATAAAAATATTGAGAGTATTAAAACATTTAACTTAATGATGAAGTGCAAGAGTTTTCAACCCCCTCCCCCCAGCGGAAGGCTTAAGTAAGTTTTTTTGATTGAATTGAGTCTGTTGTTGTTGCCACAGTAAACTTTTCCCATTGTCATTTATTATCAAGGACCACTAGGAGAATTCATCGTATTTATTCTGGATGAGGAAAACAACGAACCCAAAGTTAATCCTTAAACAATATCAGGAACTATTCCTACAAGGAAGGCCGATGGACGTCATCAGCGAAGAGGATATCATCGTGGGGGAAACAACAGTCGTGTACGTCAGCAGGAATTCCCTCCTTACCGACCAACTGGAGGAAATACATCATATGGTAACCATAAAATTTCCCATAGAGGTTGTTTTCCATGGAGAGGCAGCACAGGACTTGGGAGGTCCAAGACTAGGGTTCTGTACGCAGCAAACAGTGAGCGCAAGGAAAGGTTCCTGAAAGAAATAGAACCCTACTGCTGTATAGGAATAGGAGGATCTCGCCTATAGAAGATTCTACTTTGGTGGAATTTTAATAGGTGAATGTAATTATTACAAATTAACAGCCAATTCTCTGTAATGACCAACCATATCATATATAGAGCGTGGCACACTAGTACTCAGAAAATCAAAATAAGTTTCCATATACCTTGTATACATATATAAACATAAAAAGTGAAACAATTATGCTGCTATGGATTGCCGTTGCCATGGTAACGAACTCACCTACTTTCCCTTCCTGAAATGCTCCTTTTTCTCACAATAATCGAGAAGATTGGAGTGTTTATATTGCCGTTAATACATTCATTAAAGTTCTGATCATGATACGTGTTGTTAATATGATGAAAAATGATTAGATTAAAATAATAAAAAAAAATTCTAAAAAATGTTACAATATTGGAATATTGTATGCTATTAGGAGTCCTTGAGTAGCTTTTGAAAAGGTCAAATTTGGTCATTTTTCAAAGACGTTTTACATTCGAATGCAGCCATGCATGAGCTGGGCATGATAATATCTATGAAGGGGACATACTGTACTATCAATATATGCAACAAAATTTTTGGGATAATTGGGTTTAAGAGTAGTAACCATGGAAACAAAATTGACATTTTCCCCCTTTTTAAAGTGAAGATTTGGGTCATATTTCAAAGAAGCTTTACATTCGAATGCAGCCATGCAAGAGCTGGGCATCATAAAATCTATGAAGGTGGCATACTGTACTATCAATATATGCAATAATATTTTTAGGGCAAATAAGTGTAAGAGTAGTAACCATGGAAACAAAAGTGAGATTTTCCATTTTTTTCAAAGGTCAATTTGAGGCATATTTCAAAGAAGTTTTACATTCGATTGCAGCCATGCTGGAGCTGGGCATAATAATATCTCTAAAAGGGGCATACTGTACTATCAATATATGCAATAATATTTTTTGGGCTAATGGGTTTAAGAGTAGTAACCATGGAAACAAAATTGACATTTCCCCCTTTTTTTAAAAGTTCAAATTTGGGTCATATTTCAAAGAAGCTTTACATTCGAATGCAGTAATGCAGGAGCTTGGCATCATAAAATCTATGAAGGGGGCATACTGTACTATCAATATATGCAATAATATTCTTGGGGCAAATAAGTGTAAGAGTAGTAACCATGGAAACAAAAATGTATATTTTCCATTTTTTTTCAAAGGTCAAATTTGGGGCATATTTCAAAGAAGTTTTTCATTCGAATGTAGCCATGCTGGAGCTTGGCATAACAATATCTATAAAGGGGAACAATCAATGTATGCAATAATATTTTTGGGGCTAATGGGTTAAAGAGTAGTAACCATGGAAACAAAATTGACATTTTCCCCTTTTTCGAAAGTTCAAGTTTGGGACAATTTTCCCATTTTTGAAAGGCCAAAATTACAAAAAAAAGTTAATTCAAGAGTTCAATTGTATTTAATTTAATATCTGATTTGTCCATTTAAATGTATCTAAAGGAAGTAAACACAAACACAATCAAACAAACATTTGATCATACAATCTGTATGTTGCCATAGAAACATATAGGCATATCATAACTGGCAAGTATTAAAATTGACTGATTGTCTGATTGTTTGAATTATAATATATCAATAAAAACGTCAAATATATCAAATTATTAATCAACAAATGAACATTTGTTTGTTACAGTTATATATGAAATTTGGCTATCGCATGTGCATATCGTCAGTGCATACCTTAAAGAGAGAACTGCCAATTCTTATAACAAAATGACATGAGATCTATTTTGACTAGCGGGAGCTTAACGTACTTAGCATGTGGGAATGAACAGTATGGTATTTTCCAAGTTGCAGAAATATTCAACAACAATCATATTACATGTACATAAAAATTTTATAACTTTCATTTGAGCTGCATTTTCACAATCTGTCAACTTTTCAGCAACTGGTAAATAATTCAAATGTTAGGCTTTATATCACAGTTGCAACATGAGTTTATAATTTACATTGCACAAAGGCATATATTTCTAATACATGTAGCTGGTCTTACAGTAAAATTTTGACTCATATGTTGAAAAACTAGTACAATGTTGTATTACATATCAAAGAGGTCCAGGCTCTAAGGGCCAAAATCGGCCCCAAAATTACATTTTTTAAAGTTACCCAGGAAAAGGGACTCTATTTATTTTTTATTATTAAGAGTTAGGATTTTCCAAATATAGACAATATTTACATAATGGGTTGTTTATGACGTCATATTTATGACGTAAACTTGACATGGTTTAACAAAAAAAAAAAAAAAAATCATCATTTTCGTTATTCATTGATCATATTAAATACCTCCGCAAGCATGCACCAAAGTGAGATTTCTCTCAAATGTGCATTTCTAAAGTATCTATCAACAGTTGAAGTGTCGTGTTGGTGCACGCTTGCGGAGCATGAAAAAATCATAGTCGAAGGAAAAGTGAACTTGTGTATCCGAATCAAGTTATCAATAAATTGGTCATTTTTATGCTATCTAAAGGCCTGACATTTAGAAATATTTTGTGTACTATTATTTATTTTGTAGAATACTTTCGTATGGTACTCGAAATTGCAGATTTCTTTTTTTATTGTACGAGTTTACGGTCACTGATTAGGATGTACAGCAACATTAGATCAATATGAAATCAAGATCCACACATCACTTTGTGTAATTGTTAATATATCTTTTTTGTTTAAACATTAAAATAATTACTCTTATCTATACATTGACAAGAAACAATTGATGTATTGATAAATATTTAATCAGCATTAAAAGTGTCAAATCGTCTGATGTCGAAAATCGTCTTCCATATGTGTCATGTGACACTGTATGACGCGACGGATGTTTACGTCTGCAACTAAGCTAGCCGACAGAGCTGCATGTGGGCTGCCTGTCTGTAAATGAGAGGTTTCAATTTACTAAAGGTGAGTTTATTATAATGAATTAAGCATCATTAGCATGTAAATTATTCGCAATATTTTTAAGAAACCGTAACGTGCACACTGTCACGTCGGCCCTATACACATGATATACGTATGGACCCATGCAGTAAACAGAGATGACACTTGACAGAGATCGTTCTATCGGTTTACATTGTAACAGTAAGATTTATTCAAACTTGTGGGCTGTAAACACTAAAAAATTCTCAAGATTCGTTGAAATTTAAAAAAAAATACACGCTAACACCTTTCACAAATCTTACGTGTCTATGAACAAACATGAAAGTACTGATTTTTGCAGAATGAATGACGGGGGCTCGTCACGACTTATTTGTCTTTTTTAAACTTGAGCATCCGTATATTATAAAATGACCCTTGCATACAGGGGATGGTCAAATTTAAAGAAGACAAATAAGTTGTGACGAACCCAGGGCTCTGAATGAATCAACACTGAATGAAATATTTTATAATGTGTACAGTGTTTGTTTGTATGTTGTTTAACGTCCCTCTCGAGAATTTTTCACTCAAATGGAGACGCCACCACTTGATAGTGGAGAGCTGCAGATTTTTTAACTATAGTTGGCACTTCCAGCCGTATAGCAGTGAGGGATCTTTATCGTAGTGCCAGCAACTATGAAAAACACGTGCGGGACCTCAATTTAAACAGTCTCATCAAGATCGAGGACTGGTTTCCATGTCCCATATTGGAATATTAACCCGCGACGTAAAGATCTTACTTTCGGACTTCAGAGCAGACGCTCTAACCAATAACTACTGTGCTATGCGGGTGACTACATTTCATAATCACGATAATGTGTATGTGCATGATCATATTGTGTATGGCTGTGTAAGTCGTTGAAGTTTTATTGCTTGGCATAAGACAAGTCATCATGTTTACACTGCTATTGCCTAATAAGCTTAATGTGGCAAAATGAATGAAATAAATATTTTTAAAAAAAACATTATTCCTACGGGTTTGTTTCTTTATTGATAAGGGCATACAGGTATAGGATATATATGTTTGGAAGGGGGTTTATTTTTCTTTTGTCTGAAAACTGTCAACTTCATAGTATTCCTCAAGTTTCTTCTGCTGAAAACAGAGTAAGGATAAAACCCCCCTCCTCATTTAACAATTTGAGTTTGTGAAACTGTTTGTCATAAATGAATTATACCTCTGCCCTCTTTCACTGTCTTTACTAAAAAAAACATAAAACCGGTACATGACAAGTTCAGGTCATATTTAACTGTTTTCTGCATACATATTACTTTGTTCTTCTTGTTTAGAATTATGCCACTGGCCTGCTGCAGTTGAACCATGTAGAGCTGCAAGAAGACCAAGTGTAGTGTCCATGCATATCCCAACTTAATTACCATGGAGATTTGATTTAAATTAGAAAGTACTTGTGAGTAACAATCATTAAAAAAAAAATTAAAAGAACAAACAAAAACTATTGTTCCTATTTTCTTCAAAGGAGAGGATATAGGCCTTTTTCATTTAAAAAATATTTGGAGAAAGATTTTGAGAACATGGGTCTGTGAAACTGCCTATTTAGCCACATACATACATTATTAGGAATAACATGCTGTTTTCTACACACAAGCAATAACAAATAAATTACTTCGTTTTTCTTCAGAATGAAAATGAGGCTGCTTATAAACCATGTGAAGATCGATGCCTAGAGGTGCAAGAACCAAGTCTACTACATATACATGTATATGTTATGTCCATATTTCAACTGGCCTTGAAGAGTCCATTTAAATAAGGGAATAGTACATGTAAGTGTTAATACAACAGAAAAAACTGGAGTGTTTCAAGGAACACATGTGACACTTATTTGAGCTTCACTAAAGATGTAAATAAATCTTGAGAGTGGTTAACTATTTATCATACACTAACAATATAGTGCATGCATTTGCCTGCAAAGAAAAACAATATCTACAGAAAGTATAAGACTGTCATAGAAAATCATGTCCCAACCCTTAAATGAATAAATTAAAATTATTAGAAATAATTATTTATCATTTTATATTTACATTTGAAAGCTTTGTCCAAGATAAAACTGCAAATGATAAATTAAAAAAAAACCTGATTTCTTCATGAAGCTATTGTCTTGCATAATGATTTTTTGCAATTTATCATGCAAGTCTGTTGCTTTATCACATCATAAAAAAAGTAGTTACTTATTTGTTAAATTAGTATGTGTTACCCATTAGCCTCCAAATGAGATTTCAGTTTATCTTTACTGCAAATGTCAGTCTACATATTTCATTTAGGGTATTCCAATATATTTTCATAGTCTTCAAATATATACATGTATGTTTGTGTGGTATCTAATTTCTAATATCAGACAGTTTCAAAGTACAGTATCTTGAGTTCAAGAACAGATATAAATGCTAATTTCAGAACCCTGACAAAATTAAAAAAAAAAAGAAACATCAACTGAATTGCCTTTTTTGGAAGCAGGTCAAATGTCCCTCTTTACATCTGTCTGTCTGTTACGCTTTGGGGTACCCATCTCTTATTCGCAACTCCTCTCATACCACTGTATGAAATTTGATGAAACTTTTACAGAATCTTTATTACCCAGTACATATTGCCATTGTGCAGCTCCTATTTTACTTTTTGATCCAACACATATTTTGGGTTCCCCGGCCACAGGAAAACATGAACTTTTTCACCATTTATAACCATATGGGAAGCGGGGCGGCTCATTTAGTGAGCTCATCGCTCATAGTACCTCTAGTTATTATTATTATTAATCTATCCTGACAGCTGGTCATATTAATTGCTTTGCTTATAATTTTTAAAGCCATATATGGCGTATGTGAAATGAAAATTATCATACTAAAATAATAGGAACTTATTATTTGTATCATTACTTTATATAAAGATAGAACTTTTCCGTAAATTACAAAATCTAAGTCAATTTTGTTATAAAGATATCACAATTTAAATTTGATTATCGGAATTTTCTCCGTATCGGAAGAAAATACAAAAGATTTAAATAACACATTACAGAGAAGATAGAATTGTATTTTTAGATGAGACGAGGTGTTCTCCGTGTTCAGAATTATATGAAAAGCTTTAATTTGAATGTATTAACCATATTTCTTTACTTAATTCTGTATTTTTCAAAAATATATTATTTTGATCAGTTACGCCATATATGGCTTTAAAGAATACACAATCATAATAATAATAATAATAATATCCTTTATTTATACAGGATAGCACAATTAGTTAAGAACTAGTTCACATTGTGGTCCTGAAAACATTTGTACAGACAGAAGATTATGTACAGAAACATATAAAATAATATATAGCGAATAGAATATAAAAATCAATATTTACAGATGGCCTGTCTAAGCTGCGTCTAAAAAAACAAAACATCAGAAGTATGATCTATGTGATTAACATTTTAGTTTGAAGACTGGAATAAGGATATGGAAATAACGAACAGTATTCAATCTCAACGTCCATTAAACAAATATACAAAACAAGAGCAGAGCAAACACGTTTCCGTGTGGATCAGAGGTGGGATCAGGTGCCATGGAGGAGTGAGCATCCCCTGCTGACCGGTCACACCCGCCGTGTGCTCATTGTCATAATCAGGAAATAACGGAATTTCTTATATATGCAGATTTAAAACTTTGCAATGTTGGACAATTCTTTGAAAATTCTGGCAATTTATTCCATAGCTGAGAACCGTAAACTGTAAAAGATCTTCTATAATATTCTGTTTTTGCCCTCGGAATATACAATGAATTGCTTTGACTCAATCTTGTAGATCTGTTGTTTATTTCATGTACACATTTAAAAACATCTAAATAATCTGGGGTTAATCCATTTAAGACTTTAAAAACAAGGATGACAGTTCTGTACGTAAAATAATCATCAATTGGCATCCATCTCAGTTGTTAAAACATTTCCGATGTAGGTGTATAAAATGTAGTATTTAAAATCACTCTGGCCGCTCGCTTTTGGAGTTTACATAGTTTGCTAAGACCTTCTTTGTTTTTCATATTGCCCCAGACAGTACAACAATAATTGAAATGAGGAAAAACAATTGTATTAAAAATTTTCAACAATAACTCAGAGGACATGAATGATCTTAATCTAGACAAAACACCTATTTTGGAAGCAAGTTTTTTCGTTAAATTTTCAACGTGTTCAGACCATGTGAGACACCTATCGATTTAAACACCAAGTAGTTTCGCACAAGATACATTTTCAATCACAATACTACCTACTTTAATACATAAATTCCTACAGTTTCTTAATCTTTGTTCCGTACCAATTAACATGCACTGTGTTTTTTAAGATTGATTGTTAACTTGTTTTTCTCCATCCATTCTAGCGTATTGTTAAGATCGCTAAGTAATTTATTTTCAATAACATTGATACTCTTATCTGAGACATCCTGAGTTGTATCATCAGCATACATGTGAGCTGCTGAGTGTTTCAAGCAGTCTGGGTAGTCATTGACATAAAGGATGAAAAACAATGGCCCAAGTATTGATCCTTGAGGAACACCTATAGTTATGTCTAATTTTTCTATAAAAATCCTCTCACAGGTGATTAATCTATTAATACACTCTCCTGTAAGTTAACTTCAGTTAGTACATTCAATTTAGTATAATTTTACTTGTATATGTTGTTCCTCACAGAAAAGTGCCAAGTGATGAAATTTCAGGATGTCAGCACCACGTGACTTTCCCTGTGTACTATGCAACAAAAGAACCAAATCCAGGGACAGACGTTTTCTCATTAGTGACAGAAACAAAAATTTAAGAAAATAAATAAAGAAAAACTTCTTAATTGAAAAAATAAAACAAAACAAGAGGCCCACGGGCCTTATAGGTCACCTGAGTATTGTGTAACAACTTTCAAACAATTAAATTTGGTTTGTGTTTTAAACCAAAGGCCATGAAATTCAATTCACAATCTACAATTTTGAAAGAGGCACCATTGCTTATCATAATTATTAACTTAGCTTACTCTATTTACTTAATACCCAGAGGTAGATCAGAGTAACAAAAAGAAAATGCACTTTCATTTTATACCCAGTTGTGTACCTCACCCTAAATGAACCACTGATCCATGGGCCACATACCAGTATTTCAAAATTTTGAAAATGTTGTCATAAAATGGTTGATTAATACCAAAGAGCAGATTTCAAAGCATTAATTTATTTTCAGACTATGTAACCCCCCCCCCCTTCTGGTTCTGGGGGCATAAAAAAAAAACACTTTGCTAGATACACCATTCTTCATCATAAATGTATGTATACTTGGATAATTGGCACAAAACCCAGAAGCAAAGGAAAACCCAGACGCAAAGGAAAATATTTTCAAAGAATTAATGTATTTTTACTATATAATCAATAGAGCCCCGCCCTAACACCAGAACACCAAACCCTGGGGCAATAAAATTCACAATTATGGAAGAGGCACAGTTGCTTATCATAACTATGTGTTCAGTTAGTTTATTTGATACCCAGAAGCAGAGAAGAAAATTTTCACAGAATAAATGCATTTTTACTATATAATCAATAGAGCCCCGCCCTAACACCAGAAACCCTGACCCTGGGGCCATAAAATTCACAAATCTGGAAGAGGCACTCTTGCTCATCATAACTATGTGCTTAGTTGGTTTATTTAATACCCAGGAGCAGAGAAGAAGATTTTCAAAGAAATAATGCATTTTCACTATATAATCTATAGAGCCCCGCCCTAACACCAGAACCCCTAACCCTGGGGCCATAAAATTCACAAATCTGGAAGAGGCACTCTTACTCATCATAACTATTTGCTTAGTTAGTTTATTTAATACCCAGGAGCAGAGAAGAAGATTTTCAAAGAATTAATGCATTTTTACTATATAATCAACAGAGCCCCGCACTAACACCAAAACCACTGACCCTGGGGCCATAAAATTCACAATTTTTGAAGAGGCACTCTTGCTCATCATAATTATGTACTTAGTTAGTTTATTTAATACCCAGGAGCAGAGAAGAAGATTTTCAAAGAAATAATGCATTTTTAATATATAATCTATAGAGCCCCGCCCAACACCAGAAACCCTGACCCTGGGGCCATAAAATTCACAAATCTGGAAGAGATACTCTTGCTCATCATAACTATTTGCTTAGTTAGTTTATTTAATATCCAGGAGCAGAGAAGAAGATTTTCAAAGAAATAATGCATTTTCACTATATAATCTATAGAGCCCCGCCCTAACACCAGAACCCCTAACCCTGGGGCCATAAAATTCACAAATCTGGAAGAGGCACTCTTACTCATCATAACTATTTGCTTAGTTAGTTTATTTAATACCCAGGAGTAGAGAAGAAGATTTTCAAAGAAATAATGCATTTTCATTATATACTTATTTTAGCCCCGCCCAGCACTAGAACCCCTGACCCTGGGGCCTTGAAATTCACAAATTTGGAACAAAAATTGGTGCTTATTACAATCATCTCAACAGTTTGACTGTTTGATGCCCAGGAGTAAAGAAGATTTTTAAAGATTGCAATTATTTTAGTGGTTTTGGCCCCACCCCTCAGGCCCCAGGGGGGCGGGGACTATGAAATTCACAATTTTTGTTCCCCTCCATCCATAGATGCTGTAAACCAAATTTGGTTGAAATTGGTTCAGTGGTTTCAGAGAAGAAGCTGAAAATGTTCAAATGTTAACACACGACACACGACGCACGACGACGGACGAAAACGGATAGCAATAGGTCACCTGAGTTACTCAGGTGACCTAATGATGTTTTGTGTGGAAGATGCAGGCGAGTATACTACAGGAATAAAGAACAAAAGAGCAAGTACCCAGAGATTCCAGCTCCTGCTCCTAGTGTTTCATCACCAAAGAACATATCTTTGCCTCTACAGTCTATTGGAGGAAGTCATTCCTGTTGCCTTGTGTGATTGTAGTTTCGGAGACAGTTCGATTTAACTTTTTTGTCCATTATAATTCTCTAATACCACCAGGATCAAGATGTTGTCCAGTCCACATTGACAGTGATTCTTTTACGCAGCTAAGTTAAGGCCGCCCATAGGAACTTAGCCTTAAATATTCCGAAAAAATCAATATAATGTTAATATTTTTTTATTAGCATTAGTTTTAATTTAATGTGAACTATTCTAATGATATGTATGTATGGGGTCTCAACCGAGTTCAGCCAACGCGACTTCATGTACATCAGCTGTTTGTCACGTGACATGTTTAAAATTAGAAAAAATATGTACGGATACAAAGATCGTAAAAGTTCAACGATATACGGATAATTTTTCACTATGAAATTGATCGTGTTTTATTTATGACAAATTTCTTAACCCTAAAAGTGCTGGGAGCAACTTTTCACTGTCCGGGAATTATATAAAATTTAGCCAGCTTTTGATAAAGTATGTGCATTTTCACTTTACGCATTGAAGAAATATAAAACTACGGAAAAAAAAGACAGCGCACAACTTGCTCTCAGCACTTTTCAAAATAGTAGGGACAGTATCTACATGTGTATAAAATATTATAATTTATAATCAAGCGGATATCGTTGAACTTTTGAGATTTTGGAGGGGTTGTACATATGATTGTAGTACATTTCTATACAAAAGTGCATCACCGCGGCTTTATAAGAGACCTAGTAGTTATCAATTAAATAAGACTGTGAACTATTGATTAATGCAGCCAAAAATATGAATCAATTGTAGTCAAATCACGCTTATATAGATTTAATTTTCATATTTTCAGTTCCACTAATAGATTTATCTGCGTCTCAAGTACAGAGAAACTGCGTGTCAAACTAGCCTATGACGTCATATCTGTTAGTACAGCGTGATCAGGTTGGCTTTGAATTTACATTAGATTAGTGTTATACTGACAAGATAAGCAACACATTGATTAATATTTACAATATTCATGAGAAATCAAATTGTGTAAGAGTATATGAAAAAGAAAATTATTATTTATTCGCTGAGATTCATTTGTACAATTTCGCCGTGACGTCATAATCGAATTCCCGAGGCTCTGCACTATTCTACCTTTGGGTAGCCCTTGACCTAGTTGCGTACAGAGGAGGCTTCAAATCACATGAATAACTTCAGTAAGCAAACAGATGTCAACAGAAGTGATATTATGCATCTACTACAGAAAATCAGGGAAAACTTAGTGCAAACTGGCAATGAGAGAATAAACTTTGACAGATCAATGAGTGATTCTGATGTAAGGAATTTGACAGGACTAGATAAAGTGTCATTTCAAAATCTGCTCTCTTATTTAACTGTAGTTCGTGACACACCAGTTAGAAGCAAAAGAACATGCTTAGGAATTTTTCTCACAAAAATGAAAACTGGAATGTCTAACAAGCTTTTATCAACCATATTCAATATTTCAAAGGATTCTATAAGACGAGCCATATCATCAGTCAGAAAAAACTTGAGACAGACATTTGTTCCTTCTAACATTGGTTTCCATCATGTCGCACGAGAACAAGTTATCCAAGACCATACCCGTCCGTTAGCCCAAACTCTATTTGGAGAGCACCGTTTGCCAGCAATTCTTGTCATAGATGGTACCTACCTTTACATACAGAAAAGCAACCAGTTCTCCTTTCAGAGGAGGTCATATAGTCTACACAAACACAGACCTCTAATAAAACCCATGGTTTTTGTTACAACTACAGGGTATTTTGTGAGTGTTATGGGTCCCTACTTGGCTGACAATAGTAACAATGATGCAAAAATCATGCAGCATATCTTTGCTACTGACTCAGAAGAAATACGACAATGGATGCAGGACGGAGATGTCTTCACAGTGGATCGTGGTTTCCGCGATTCCATTACTACATTGGATGACATTGGAATCAGAACAGAAATGCCTTCATTTTTAGAAAAAGGCCAAAAGCAATTATCTACAGAAAACAGCAACACATCTCGTCTCGTAACAAATATACGCTGGGTCGTAGAATCAGCAAATAGCAGGATAAAATCATGGAAATACTTTGAAAAAGTTATTCCAAACACGCAAATTCCTTTGTGCTGTAATATATGGACTGTGCAATAAGTTTTGCCACCCTTGAGCAGTGGTTCACAAGAAGAGGATGAAGCTGTTATGTTGCACTTGGCAAAAGAAAGCAATGTTCTGAAGACACGAGTTGAAAATGAGGGACTGGATAAAGTTACTTCAAAATCCTGGCAGAAAATTGACAGTGCTGATGTTTTATTCCCAAAACTGACAGAGGAAGATGTACGTGCACTTACTATTGGCATATATCAAGTGAATTTAGCTAAATCATACACAGCTGAACACCTAAATGAAGACTAAGAATTTGAAATCTTGGTTTACGTTTATGATCCACATCTTCTTTGTGCGAAATTGAAAAGCCGACATATCAGTTCAAAAGCATATCATCTTTGGATTGCCCATGATGAAGCCACAGTGAGATCCTGGTACTGCAAATGCAAAACAGGATCCCGAGTTGTCGGTATGTGTGCACATGTAACATCGGTAGTATGGTATCTTGGTTATGCCAGACATGTATCTAAACCATTCTGCTGTGTGAAGGATTGGACACAGTTCCTAAAGGATGCTAAGAACTTACCTGAACCTGAAACTTCAGATGAAAGTGATGAGAATGTTGAAGAATTACATGTATATGAATTATTCTATGTGAATTATTCTATGCACTAGTATTGCATTACATTAGTCTACATGTACATTGGTCATGTATCATAATATTTGTATATTTTATATGTATTATTAATTATCCAGAGTAGTGAACGTATATACTTATACAAATAATTATCCAAAAATTTGAGCAGTCATTGTC